CGCGACAAACAGTATTCGCCGCTCCTTCCCACCCACCCTCCCCCCTTCCCTCCCTCTCTCCTCACCCTCCTTCCCAACCCTCCCCAACCCCACACACACACCAGACAACCCGCCGCACACCGCCTATCTCCCCCTCTCCCTCGTCCGTACCAGGGTACGGTGTTGCGCCAGCAGGAGCGTCAGCCATAGCTTGACGGAGAAAGAGAGAGAGATACCCAACCTCAGCCCGAGCCCGCCCCCGCCCACTCTCCCACAGAGCCACTCTGCCCGTCACACTCGGCCGACCCGCACACACCACCCACACCACAGCCATCGACTACCTCCACCTCCACACACCACAACCACCAACCACCAATCACAACCACTCCACATCCACATCCTCTCCTCCTGTCCCTTGCCCAACCCCCCAACCCCCCCAACCTCCCAACCCTCCAACACCCACGGATCTTGCTACGCTGGTTCTGCTGCCGCATCGCCATCATCAACCGTAGCACCCTCCCCCACTCGCTGTTGCTGCTGGCATGTCGGCTGGAGAGAGGAAGGGTAATGGGGTGGTGGCAGCGATGGAAGAGGCTGGAGCAGACGCTGGTGAGTCCCGGCGCCGGAAGCGGCGGAGGAGCTCCATGACCGACATCGAGCGCGAGGCCAAACGGACAAGGACCAAGGAGGCGAGACTGCCCAAGCATCGCCAGCCCAACCGGGTTGTTTGTAATCTGCGACACTTGAAACTGGCCCGCAAGCTGGCTGCTACCCGGCCGCCGCGGCTGGAACAGTGGGTGAGCACAACGTGGCCGCTGAGCGTCGACGATGCGCCGCGGCAGGCTGGGGACATTCCGCTCAATCGCGACTTGCCGCCGGGCCTTCTCGGACGCGCTGACGAACTTGCCACCATCGACGATGATCTCATCTTTGACAACGAGTTGTACGAGTTTGCTGTCCCGCTCCCGCGGTCGCGGGTCCTACAGTCGCCGGTTATTACTGCGCCCGTCGTCGCCCACGACTTTGCCTTGGTCTCGGAAGAGCTGAAGAAGCGCGATGTGGTCGGTGACCCACGGGTCGGCTTCACCCCGGTCCTCGCTCGAGATCTGGCCGAGGTGCGAGTCCAAGAGATGATCCAGGGCTTGGCGTCGGAAAAGGCCGCCCACGCCGACGCCCTGCCGGCCGTCACTGCCCTCGTCGACGAAGTGTGGGACGAGCTGGCCAAGGCGCGCGTCTCCGATCCTGCAACCCGCGCCCGCGCCTGCGTGCTTGATGGTCCACTGAGGGCCTTTGCCGCCATGCGCCTTGAGGCTGTCATCCGCGACACCATCGCCGCCACCTTTCTAACCCTCGCCCAGGACCGCGTCCGCACTGGAAAGCGGGCCCACCCGGTCAACGTCGTCGGCGCTCCCGTCCACCGCCCGCATGCCAAATTTCTCGCGCCTGACCGCCTCGATCCGGCGTGTTCGCCGCTCGAGCGCGCACGGCGCATGCTTGTCGAGCATCCTCGCGTTGTCCTCCGCGCCGCCCAGCTCCACACCAACCACCACGCGCCCGAAGACCTTGAGGCCATGCGTGCCGCCATGGAGACTCTCTACGACGATGGCCGCGCCATGGTTGTCCCGCAGGCTTTTGTCGACCCACGCCGCAACATCCCTGGTGCCATGGTCTCGGACGACGGCGACGACAGCGACGACGAAGCGGTCTCCGAGGCTGACGAAGAGACCGACGAGTACGAGGAGAACGATGATGACGACGACGAAGACGATGAAGCCGACGACGAGCCGGAAGCCGATGACGACAAGTCCGTGGGTGTGTTTGACAGCAACGACGACGGCGCCAGCTCATCGTCGTCGTCTTCATCGTCCTCATCGTCGTCAGACACCACCACCACAACATGAAACACGCTTTATCCGCCACGTCCTCGCTGCACACGCATCCTGCTCAGCCTTGGGTGAGGAGCGTGGTCAGCTCTTCGGTCGAGAGCTCGCCGCCGGCCGAGACCTTGAGGAAGGAGAAGAAGGCATCGACCTCATCCGGCCGCAGCTTGTCACCAGTGGTGAGGAGGAGCTTCTCGAACTGGTCGGCGTTGAGCTTGCCGCGAACCTTGTTCGGGCCGGGTCCGCCACCAACAAGCTCGTCGCGCCCGACGTTGGCCTCGATGCACTCAAAGGCCTCGCCCAGCATGGGCTTGGTGACATAGCCTGACATGTTTGCCTCGATCATCGACACAAACTGCGAGAACGAGAGCGATGACGAGTCAGAGAGCCCAGTGTCGTTCCACATCTCCTCGATCTGCGCCGGTGACATGCGGATGCCGTATGCCGCGAGCGACGACGCAAGATCGGCCTTGGAAATACTGCCGTTCTTGTTGAGATCAATGGCCTTGAAAATGCCCTTGTACTCGTTGATGGCATCGGCGTCCATAGCGTCCTGTCCCCGCCCTCCCAACCACCCGCATCAGTCCCCTCTTGGCCAAATTCGTCCATTGCCCGACGCCAAAAACGGCCAACAACTTTCACCAACACATGCAATTCGCAGGAACTGCTGCTCCCACCACGCCACCCATGCCGAGCCTGGTCCGCCACGCCACGCTACACCATGGCGAATACGCTCTTGCTCCCTCCACAAAACACACACAACCCGTCGTCCTTGTTTGATCTTGCCAGCGTGCCCTTTTCTCCTTCCCTCTCATCCTCTAGCTCGTCTACAGTGCCCTTTGGCGTGTTGGCGGTCAGGTGGCGAGGGGGCGCATGGAGCTGGCTTTTCGCCCACCCTTCCCCGCACGCTCCAGCACGCTCCAGAGACCCCCATCGGCCACACACCGTGCGGGCCCCATCTCATTCACTTTCTCAACACGCTGGTTCGCCACTTACCTCGGTGGAGAGGCCAAACGACTGCTTGCGACGTGAGCGAGACATGGCTGTAGTTGTTGCCCCAGTCAGGTGTGGTGTCTTCCAGCCAGGAGGCAACTGCTGCCCGCATCCGCGTGAGATGCAATCACAACCATGCTATGCTGCAAGTGGCCAGATATGCATGGCGGTGGCCGCCTTGCTTTAAGAACAACTCATCAGCTACTTCCCTACGCCTACACGCGGGTGGAAGAAATGGTGAGCTGGCCGGCATCGCCGGAGAGCTTCGAGTTGTAGAGCGCGGTCGAGTACTCGGGCTTGTCCACCAACTTGCGGATGTTGATGGTGACCGTGCCGATGAGATCATGATTCGACATGACGTCAATCTGGTCGGGCTTGAACTTGTCCAGATCCCACGCCTGGATCTTGACCTCCTTGAACTCGTCATCGATGGGAATGGTGACAGGCGTGTCGAAGACCGCTGACGTCTTGTCCTTCTGCCACTCAGTCTTGCCGTACAGAATCCAGTGCTCATCATGGTCCATCAGAAAGACCAGCAGCCTGCCCATTGCCAGCCCAATGCATATCACCATGAGTCTGACAAAAGACAGAGGGCTTCCTTTGCCAGGTGCACACCCCTACCACGTACACACACACACACACACACACACACACACACACCATACACCACACACTACGCACGCACAACCCCCCCACACCCCACACTCCATGCATACGTACTGAGGGTCAGACTTGCCCAGTAGGTCCATCTGCACGCCCACACATAATGAGTCCACACCGCCCGTTACGTCACGCTCCTTCACCCCTCCCACCACCTTCCCTTGCAGCGCATATATATATATATACCTTGGGGATATCATCGAGAGAAAACCGCATCTGCAGACCGTTGCCGGGCTCGGGATCCTTCAGCTTCATGACCGGAATGGTACCGCCGTCAAACTCGGCAGCAGGTGCGTCTCCGAAAGGGTCTTCTGCAGACATGGCGCCAGCAAGAGAGAGAGTGAGCAAGTCAGGTGCCAACGTGCCGCTCGGTCCCTCCCTGCCACCACTCGCCCACCGGCCGCCCGCACTCGCGCCAACGCGCCGTCACCAACCACTGACACGGAGACGGACACGGACAGCAGCCGGCACCCGACTCGAGCCAGGGAGGTATGAGCAGCCTCACCGAGTTCGACCCAGAAGAGCTCCCCACCTTTAAGCGCAAAGTGTTGCAGGCTCTGTGCAAGGAACGCGAGCTGCGTGCTAATGGCAAGGTACGCTCCATACTCCATACCCCCCTCCCCCTTCGCTGACCGCTGTCGACTTGTGGCGCCAAAGTCGCACTCTGCGCAGGCTGTGTCGTGGGCAAAGGGAGGGCAGGGGAAGGAGGGAGAGTGGGTGGTGAGGACTCATGTGATGTGCTCTGGGGTAGAACAAGGACATGGTCGCCGCGCTGGAGCAGTGGTATGTCGATACCCATCTGGAGGCTTCGGTGGTGGGCACGCCGATGAAGCTGGGGCCGGCCGACGAGAGCGACGTCGAGACCGAGGACAACGACGGCTATGAAAGCTACGACGACGAAGAGATGAACGACGACAATCGGCGTTCACGCTCGCCGTCGGTGGCCGACACCGTTGCGGCGTCGATGGCGGTGGTGAGCGGGAAGATCGGCGATCTGGTGTACCGGGTCCGCCGCGCGGTCTCACCGTCCCCGCCGCCCCAGCCTTCGCCTGATCCGTCCCCATCACCCTCGCCGTCACCCTCGCCGTCACCCTCGCCGTCACCCTCGCCTCAGCCGTCGCCAGCGGTGCAGAACCAGGGCGGTAGCTGTGGAAGAACGAGTCGTACTCTGGCAAAAAGTACTCGTACCGGTCACCGATCGCCGACTCGCGGTTCACGTCGGGCGGGACGACGCCGCTGCGGAGCACCAAGATGGCTGTGTCGCCGGCAATGCCGGTGACGCCGACGACACCGGCGACAGCGACCCCGCATAGTCGGTCGTCGGACATGGCCATGTGCTTCCGTGGCCTGCTTGCCCTTGCGGCGATCGCTGCAGTGGCGTTTGTTGTTGTCGACCCGACGTTCTTTGCGCCCAAGGTTGTGTACTGCGACAAGGGTCCGAGCATTGACTCGGCGCACGCGCCTTCCCCACCGGGCTGTGTCCCCTGTCCGTCCGGCGCCACATGCTTGGGCGGAGCGGCCACGTGCTCAGGACAGTTCCGCATGTTGCGCGACGGAAAGTGTGTCGAAGTGCCCGAGCTTGTCCGGGCCAAGGCATATGTTGCTACCACTGGCGTCAAGCTCATTGCAACGCGGGCTGGCGAGTTTTTCTGTGGGGGAGTGGCTTCGCGGGCGTGGGAAGAGGAAGAGCTGAAGGATGCAATCCGCGCTTCGGCCCCGTCGTCGGTCTTGCCGCTGCTGGACGCTGCGTGGCCCACGTTCCTCTACGACACGGCCCGCCAGTTTACCAGCACGACGTACACCAACACGAGTGGAATCTACGTGGCTATGATGAACCAAGTGGACAACGGGGTCCCGTCCGACGTCGCGGCCCATCCCGGAAAAGTGCTCTTCTTTGCTGCGCCGGGCTCGGCCCAGTACTCGCTGGTCTGCTCGGCCAAGGCTTATCTGCTGGAGACACTCAGAACATACCTGTATGAGGTCAGCGGCGCGCTCATTCTGGTCGCGTTGATCATGTGGTGGCGGATGAAGGCCAAGGCGGCGGCGATGGACAATGCCGACGCGGCGGCGCTGTACAACACGGTCCTGCGCACGCTGTTCGACTTCAACGGCTCGGTTCCACGCTCGCACATCAAGCACACCCTGCTCTCGCCGGAGCAGCTGTCGGACTCGCGGTGGGAGCGGATCTGGGGCCTTGCCGTCCACAAGGTCCTCTCCAACCCGTCGGTTCGCGAGGCGCCGCGTAAGATCCGCGGCGAGACCGAGATGATGTGGGAGTGGATGTCGGACCTTCCGCCGCACGGCTACATCGAGTCGCCGGTCACCGTCGACCGGCGGCACCTCAACTTTGAGTCTGACTCGCCGACAAGCACGCCGACTGTCCACCCACCGGCGAGCCCGCCTGCCTTTGACTCGCCACATGTCAAGGTCGGCTCGGCCCGCCGTACATCGGCCGGCTCAGCCCGCCGCCGCTCGTACGCTTATCGGTCATGACGCAGCTGTAAAGCCAGACTATAAGTACGCCTTTTTACTCGAGCGCAAACATGTTGCCGTCCGACGTTCCGGCTGCCAGCGCAGATACGCCTTCATCGGTGCTGGCCGCCGCGCGAGCCGCGGCTCCCGCCTTGTGCGCTGCTTCTTGCGAGATCTCGTTGGAGACATGACGGAAGAGCGAGGCCCAGTCCCACGCCGCTTCCGGATCCTGCACCGCCTCTAGCGGCATCAGTGCGTCTGTCAGCAGCGACAGATCCAGGTCCGGGTCGGGAATAGCCACGTGCGAGAGCTTGCCGGCATGCAGGTCCAGCTCGTCGATGCTCTGCACCGGCGCCGCCGCCATGGTCGGCGCCTGCGCCAGCGCGCCCATCCGCTCCTCCCGCTGTACATCCTCTAGATCCGGAATCGCAACTCCATCATCCGTCGACACGCTCTCCTCTTCCACCGCAGCCCCAAACGCCACGTCCTCGTTCCTGTTGCCCCGCGCCTGCGTGTGAGCTGCTGCCGCCACCCCGACACCCACACCCACACCCACACCCGCACCCGCACGTACGCAGCCCGCGAGCCAAACAAGGCATCGACATTTCCGCGCTTGCGCAGCGGCTCGTTCTGCCCCCAGCCCGTGGACGGGGCACCAGGCCGCTTCCCGCCAGCCTCGCCAAGAACAGCCGCCGCCCCCGCCGCTGCCGCCTCGGCACCCTCGCGACGGCGGCCTCTACGCCGGCCTGTAGGCCCGGCAGGCGCATCTGCAAAGATGCTATCCTGCGTCGACATATGGAATCAACCCCGTCTGGCCGAGAAGCAAGTCAGGTGGTGAGGTGACGTCCAGCTCCAGGGTGAGGCCAATGGCCCTTGCCGGAGTCCGCGCCCTCCCGCTCTCTCCCCCGCCGGCTGTGTTCGCCATGTTTACAACCACACCCACGCCCACACCCACACCCATAGCAGCACCCACAGACACAGACGCAGTCACACTTCACCCCACCTGGCCAACCACCTTTGCACACACACACACGCACAGAGACACAGACACAGTCCCGACATACGCCCGTCATGTCGCGGAGGGTGACACGGGCACAGGCAAGGGCCATGGCGGAAGCTGCCAAGGCCCACGAGGCAGAGAGCAGCAGCTCGGACCACGATGAGCCCGAAGCTGAGGTCGATAGCCACCAGTCGGGGGCAGAGAGCGAGCAGTCGGAGCAAGAAGCCGCAGACGCCGCCAGAGCTGCCACCGCTGCCCGTCTGCAGGCTCTAGCCGATTCCGACTCGGACGACGCTCCTGCGCTTCCAGTTACAACAGTCGCTGGAAGTGGAGAGCTCGACGATGGTGAAGTTGCTAGAGCCGCCACTGCTGCTCGCCTACAGGCACTGTTGGACTCGGACTCGGACTTGGATGAGGCTCCCGCGCCGGTGCCGGCTCCAGATCAGACCCAGGTGTCGGCGGGTGAAACCCACAGCGAGAAGGGCAAGGACGAGGACAAGCCAGCCGCTAGTGGTGGTGTGTTTGGCGGTGGTGGCGGTGCGAGCAGCGACTCGGGCCGGCTGCAGATGGCGTTGCAAAAGGCGCCTCAGGAACGGACCGAGGACGATGCTGATATCATCTACCAGGTCCTCTGCGAGCAGCGTGTGCTCAAGGCCAAGTCCGAGTACATCCGGCGTGAGATGTGCCGGATGGTCGGTTACGAGGTCCACGCGCCAGGCTCGCCCATCATTCGCGAAGGCGAGACCGGCGACAAGTTCTACATGATTCTCTCGGGAACGGTTGACATCTACGTGTCGGCGGCCGGGCGCGACCCGGTGACCCACATGGTGCCTGGACAGGACTTTGGTGAGCAGGCGCTGCAGCAAAAAGATGCACGACGAAACGCAACATGTACCGCTCGCACCAAGTGCGAGCTCATTACGCTCAACCGCGAGAACTACACCCAGATTCTTATGCTCGGTGAGGGACACAAGAAGACCTTTGACCGCGTCGGCTACCCGAACCTCGACACCGAGTACATTTTTACTCATGTCCTACTGCAGGGCAAGCACCTCGAGAGTGACGGCGGGTCCGCCATTGCCGAGGCGCTCAAAACTAACCCGCGCGTCCACACCGTCGACCTCTCCGGCAACCTCATCGGCCCGGCAGCCGGCACGGTCCTCGGCCAGGCGCTCTCGGTCAACGAGTGCGTGACGACGCTCAACATGCCCGGCACTGGTATCGCCGACGAGGGCGCCGCCGCTCTCGGCGAGGGTCTCGCCGCCAACGACGTCCTGGTCCGGCTCAACCTCCGCAACAACGCCATCGGCGACGCCGGCGTCCGCGAACTTGCCCGCGCCCTCGAGGCGAACGCCACCCTCACCACCCTCGACCTCTCGCTCAACGCCATCACCGACGTCGGTGCTCGCTACCTCGCCGAGTCGCTCAAGACCAACACCTCGCTGGTCTCGCTCCGCCTCGAGCGCAATCGCATCTCATCAAAGGGCAAGGCCGTGCTCAACGGCATGCTGCGAACCAACACTGGGCTGTTCATCGATGGCTCCCGTCCGCGCACCAACCACGGCTTTGATCCGGGCCTTTGGGCCTAACGCGCCGCCTCTTCACAGCTTGGACCGCACCTGCCCCAGTGCTATGTTGAGCCCGTTGCGCTCGCGCAGCACCAGAGCCAGTTCATCAAACGCCTCACCGTACACCTCCTCAGACGCTGGCACCTTGATCGTGTGCATGCCCAGCAACCGCGCCGTCTTGACATTGGCCCCGATGTCGTCCAGAAAGACGACCGCACCCGGTGCCACGCCGAGCCGGTCGAGCATGCGTGCAAAGATGGCCGGCCCGGGCTTGCGCATCGCCTCCAGCCGCGACTCGACAACAACAGCGCGGGGGACCAGGTCGCGAAGCTCACGCGGCGGCTCGGCGCCCTTCCAGTTGTTGGTGAGGATGCCGATGGCTAGCCCGGCGCCGGCGATCTCCGCCACCAGCTGGAGCACCTCGGGCCGCGGGCGGAGCGCGTTGCGGAGGACGGCAAACATGTCAGCCGCAGCAAAACCAGCTGCAGCCTCGGTACCCAGCCGCAGCTGCACCTCGCGATCCAGCCGAGCGCACGCCTCGTCTACATCGATCAGCCCGCACTCGAGCAGAGCAAAGGCTGTCGAGCCAGCCAGAGTCATCGCAAGCTCGCGGGCTGGCACGCCAAGCTCGGCTGCATACCTTGCGATGGCTGGCAGCGGCGACGCCGTCAGCACTCCGCCCACGTCAAAGACCACAGCCTCCACTGGGCCCAGGCTTGCCATAGTGAGGTGTCTCGCGAGGTGGCGACCGACCGTGACCAGGTCAGACCACAGCGTCGCCGCAGGCATCCGCCAAGCCCCTCATCAGCGGTAGCCGATTCATTTGATCATGGCTCAATGAGTCTAACCGGATGACCCATGGCGCTTGGGCTTGATCGGACAGCTGGGTGTCACGTCACACTATTGGCCCTACGAGCCGGAGCAAAGGAATTGGTGGAAGGCATGTGGAGCAGGAGGTGACCAGGGGGCGAGACGATGGAACACTTGCCCTGGCCACCACGACACACAACACACGCCACACACACACACACAGTGCACACAACGCACACCAGTCTCTCACCACAACCACAACCACCACATTATCTCTCTCTCTCTCTCTCTGTTCTCTCCCTCTCCGGCATCATGGAGGTGCTCATGGCCTCGGTGGCACAGACCATTCAAGACGCGCGGGCGGTGGCCACAACCGGATACCGCCGCCACCGTGCGTGCCTGGCCCACCGCAGTCACCGCATCGTGGACTTGCATCCAGCGACAGCCTCGGCATCCAGGCCGCAGCAGTAGGGGCAGCAAGCCCAGTGCTGCCGCTGTCGACTGTGAGCACGCCTGCCACCACCGTTACATCCTTTGCCATCGAGGTGTACGCGGCCTGCGCCGCAGGCATCACTGCGCCCGAAGTGTATCTGGTTGCAGACGTGCGTGGTGAACCTGATCCTGTGACGGATGCCGCCGGACGTCTCTTGCTTGAGCGGTGGACGGTCGAGGTGACCGAGGCACGGTCTTCCAGCGCAGACGCCGAGGACCGGGCCGCCGGCCTCATCCACGCCCATGGCCCAGTCCTCCTCCGCCTGCTGTTGCTTGCGCTGTGCAAGTCGCCGGTTCAGGCTCTGGTTGCTCGTCTCATGGACGACAACGCGGCATCATACTACGGCGGCATCATCGTCGAGAGCATGCTCCTCGCCTCGCCGTCGGTCCAGTACCACACATTGGACGAACAGCCTCTTGCCCAGTTGTTTGATCGCACGCTGGACACCGGTGTGTACTCGCTGCGAGTGGTTGGAACCGTGACCCGAACATCGCTCGAGCTCAAATCGTCGGATGCACCCGAGGACGACCCCGCGCTGGAGTTGCTTGCCGGAACGGGCGCGAATTCGATGCTCAGCGCCGAGCCTGTGCAGGAGCCCCTCACTACTGTCGACGTCATTGCGCTCCCGCGCACGCCAGGCTCAGCCACGCTCGGCGGGAGTGGACTCCGTCCAAGCTCACATCGGCATGCGGGGGGCGCGTGTCATGCCACGCTCGTGGATACGAGCCTCGCGCCAAGTGCGGGCTCGTCGGTGACGACTGCCGTAGACGCAGCGCTCGCCGGACACGAGGCGCTGCTGACCGAGACCGGGCTTGATTGCGAGTAAAGGTGCTCGAGAATTAGAATAGGCTGTCAGTTCGGATGTGTGTGTTCATTGCCGAGACTTGTTCTTGCGCTTGGACGACGACTTGCGGTCCTTGGTTGGCGCGGCATCATCGGCGGTGGCGGCAGCGGCGGCAGCAGCCGCGCCAGGAGTGGGCGACATAGCGCGCGACGACTTGTGCGAGCGATGCGATGGAGCAGCAACCGGAAGCTCGGCAAGCTTGGCCAGCAGAGCCGCCTCGCGGGCCGCCATGGCCTCGGAGACGCCAGCCTTGTACAGCGCGCAGAACTCGGCGACGTTGGCCTCGAGCAGAGCCTGCAGCTGGGCGGTCGAGTGTGAGACGGTGAGCGCAGCAAGAAGCGGGCGCGCTTTCTCGAGATAGCTCTCCAGCTGGGCCTGAAGAGCTTGGCCACGAGATGCGGCTTCGACCATTGTGTTGAGATCCTCGAGCTTGCGGGCCTGCGACTTGACAAACTCGTCGCGAAGTACGGCGTCGGCGAGCGGCGGAGGACGGGCCGGGACTTCGACGAGCACATCCTCGGATGTGATGACTTGTGGCTGCGGCGTGCTAGCTGCCAACTGGAACAGCTTGTAGTGCTGAAAGAGCGTCGACGAGAGGAACGCCATGATGTTCTTGATCTCGGACAGGGAGAACAGCTCCGCGGCAGCGGGGGCGTTCCCGTCATTGGCGTCACTCGCGTCGTCGCCGTCGACAGCGTCATCGTCCGAAATAGCAGCATCAGGTGTAGCGGGAGTAGTTGGCAGACCGGGCGCCCTGCGCGCGTGCGCAGCGAGGACGGACTTGGCCAGAGCAACCACATCAGCGAGCGGGGCGGCATCGCGGGTGGCGCGAGAATGCAGCTCACGGACGAGAGCAAAGACGACCGAGGTCTGGGGAGCAGTCAGCTGCTCCTCGCGGGCAAAGACCAGGACCGAGGCCAGATACTCCAGCGTGGCGGCCGTCCACGAGTCTGTCAGGGCCTTCTTGGTCGGAATACGGAGCATGCCCGCCAAGTGGAGAGCGTCGACCACCGGCGCCCGCCCCAGCGCCTGCAAGTCCAGCGGCGACAGCTCCCGCCAGAGATACCGGCGTGCCTCACCTCGCTCCATGCCCATCCACCTATCGCTACTGCTCGCCTTGTCTGTCTCTAGCTCTTTAAGCAGAGCAGTGTGTGGGCAGAGGGTAAAGTGGTGAAGGGGGGGGGGAGGGGAGGCAAACGGCGTCGGCCTGATCAGTGGCGAGGGAGGGGGGGGGGCTGGGGACGAATTTGTTACAGTTGCGGCCAAGTGGAGAGCGTCGACCACCGGCGCCCGCCCCAGCGCCTGCAAGTCCAGCGGCGACAGCTCCCGCCAGAGATACCGGCGTGCCTCACCTCGCTCCATGCCCATCCACCTATCGCTACTGCTCGCCTTGTCTGTCTCTAGCTCTTTAAGCAGAGCAGTGTGTGGGCAGAGGGTAAAGTGGTGAAGGGGGGGGAGGGGAGGCAAACGGCTCGGCCTGATCAGTGGCGAGGGAGGGGGGGGGGGCTGGGGGTGGGGGGGGGGGGGTAGGGGACGATCTGGGTGAAAATGAGTGACGATGGTGCAAGAGAGGAGGAGATACGTACGGAGGAAAGGAAGGTAGTGAGGTGGAGGGAGGGGGGGGGAGGGGGGCTTTTTATCCGTATGGGTGGCAGTGATTGCCCTCGCAGGCAGTCGGTGAACGATGAGATGACACATGCGAGATGGCGTGGCAGGGCGAGTCGGCGTAGTGCACGAGCTGGAGCCACAGCCACGGACAGAACCAACGACGCCAAACTTTGGGTAACACTGCACTATCTCCCCCTCTCCCAAACCAATGATGGCGCATGTTGTGAGCTTTGTGGCGGTTGCTCTGCTGGCTGTGGCTGTGGCCGGTGCCGGAGGCGAGCCGCCGCAGAATCTGGCTGATGCGGTGGCGTCGGCATGGAGCGGGACTGTGACCCAGACCATGTCCAAGTGGACGTCGACGTACACATGGGCGACGTCTGACCGGGTCGGAGCCACGTTTCAGCAGTTTGGCAAGGGAAGGATCAACATTGCTCAGGCGCAGCGTGCCAAGCCATCGGGCATGTACATCACCTGCTTTGGCCTTCCGGCTGACAATTGCTACTGCGACAAGGCGCCGGTAACGTACCCGGGCCCTCTGGGTTTCACGACCGTCACGTTTGCGGACACTGCTCCGTCGCTCATGGCCTACTCGGGCACCACTCCCGATGGCTATGCTCGCTACAACTACACCTGGCCGGCGGGATCGACCGTCGCCATGGACGTCGATCTGCAGGCCGGCGGCGCACCCGTCGCCCTCACCTGGATCTCCGCTCTTGGTGCTACCGAGACGTACTCGATGACCGACGTGGTTGTCGGCGAGCCTGCGTCCGACATCTTCACTCGCCCGTGCAACCACTCTTCCCTCTGACGGAGCAGCAGGCGTAAACAAACCGAGACTTTCCACCGAGCCCACTCCCACCGACCATCGACTGTGTTTGGACGGTACCCTGGGCATGGCAAGGCATGATTCCGAGTCTGATCGCGGGCGGTGTACCTGAAGCCGAGATGGCGGCGTGTCGCGAGCGGTGAGAAGCAGACCAGCAGCGCGCCAACGCAGAACGCAAAAGTGGGCGTGATCCAGCAGGAGACGCAGTGGATGGGTCCACCAAAGTGCAAGTTGTTTGACGGCAAGCTGCAGTAGCAGATGACTATGGTGTTCGTTCTGCGTGACGAAGCCAACTGGCGGCGTATCTGTGTGCATCAAAGTACTCTGCCCCTCCCTCGCCAACACCCTCCCACCCAACTCAACCACACTTACCCACAGCTTCCCCACCCACCCACCCCACCCCCACCCCCCCCCCCCCCC